GTAGCATACATGTCACTTTGGTTCTGTGACACCCTCAGACAGGCCTGAGCTCATCAGCTCCAGCAGACTTCACGACACTTGTGACTCGAAATAAGAGGTCATTGAAGACTTTGAAAAAAGGTGAATAAAATATATAGTCTGTTTTTCTTTTAAAAAACACCCAAGTAATAATAAAGCTTACAAAATCTGCAGCATTCAGCTGTTCTATATAAGCGTGGAAAATAAATTTTTGTAAGTAGAAAACTATAAAGAAAATAAACGAGTTCCTTTTTAAAGTTTCATTTTGAGTTGGCCACACTGAATCATGTTATGTTTTATATAATTCAAACGTTAAGCAAAGGTATACTAAACTCTGAATATTTGCTAAGGGCTAAGAAATAACAATAATGAGCAGCACCACTGTAAGAGTCAGAGGAGGACCTCCCACACAGTTAAGAGAAATGAAGGTTTTGTGAAGAAGAGAAAGATAACCTGCAAGCACAGAATATAATCCAAATCAAGTCTCTGAAAGCCAGGAGTACCTTGATCCATCTGAGAATGGACTTCAGACTCTAAATCTTCTCGGTTGTTTTCTATGACATGTTATGATGAAATATTTTCTTCTGGAGGCCAGGTCATCCAAGAAGAAAACCAAATATTATAATTTTGTCAACACCAGTGTCTCATTGAAGTGAATTCTAATTAACTTTGAACAAGATTTATGGCTATGAGCAGCTTGTCATTTGCTCTGACCCATTTCCCACATTCTGTGACTCCTAATAAGATAAGGTGTTCTCCTGTTTCTTAGGCTTAAGGATGACAGTGTACATGTAAGTGTGCTCATCGGTAGCAATAGGAGCTTATTATTTTTGAGAGCTTCTTGTACTTAAATAAGTACAAGAGTGTTTGCTATACATGGAGAAGAAAACTGGCAAAGTCTGAAGTGGCTCCCGGTATGAAACAGCCATCCCTGTTTGCCACTCCATTTATATTGTATTCACAGGCTCCTTTCATCTTCGTTTATCTGGTGCTTTCCCAGCTATGGTGACCCTGAGGAATGTGTAACATGACTCCTCTTTTCTAGACCTTGATGATGGAGTTAAGAAGAAGCTAAATTGAAGACAGTACAGGAAGTCTAGCAGTCTTGCCCCTCAGCATCTAGCCATTCAGACCATAAGGGACTAAATGGTGACTGGCCGACCCGAGCTGTTCTGTGGGATTCTGACACCACCTTCCTGCGGCTGCTGCTGCTTCATCTGACTGCCATGACTGCAGGCACAGCCGAAGTAGAGATTGTAGCCAAACCTGGGAGGGTAGCCACCAGCTCTGTCATCCCTTCAGTATTCATCAACCATGCAACCAGTGTTTTCCTAAATTGTCTTAATTTCAGTTTTTCTGTTCTCTCAGTCCTCTAAATACTTTTTAAACCAGTTGTGTAGTAATATTAAGCCAATTATATCATTAGACCAGTAATATTGGGGGGGAAATAGTCATTGAAATTTTAACTTCCTTGGTTACGTTTCCTGGACTTTTACATTTTCTTCCATTCCTGATTCCTATTCTGATTCCTACTATTGCCAGGTTTTTTATTTTATCTTTGTTGAGTCATATCCATCAGTAATTGCCCCAGTGCAGACTCCCTGACTGGGTGCCAGATGGCCAGGCCCTCTAACTTCTACCCAAAGAGAAGCAACCTGCATGAAACCCATGTCCCCTACTTGGAGAACTCTCATTCACATTATCAGAGTTTGCTGCTCCCCCGTCCATACCTTGTTGAAGGTAGGACATCATACATCCTTTGAAATGCTTTTTTCTTATTTTAATTTTTGTAAATGCTTGGTATGTAGTCCTGTTTTTCTTCAGCTCTCGATAAATTATAGGTCCGTGTATCAGTTTGTGCTTAGGACCATCCTAAAGATGACTATCCTCCAGCACTAAAAAGCCAAAACGTGTGTGTGTGTGCGCATGCGTGCGCAGAGATAGGCTTTTTACATTTGAAGTTACTAAAGCTGTGTGTATTCTGTTCCTTTGTTTTATTCACTTAACAAGACATTTTGAAGCTTTTCTATATCAGTACATCAAATTCATTAGCTTCTTTTTATTAGCAGCATAGAATTCTGTATTCACAATATAGTCATAATTTATTTTACCATTCCTCTGTAGATGGATATTTAGTTTTGTTTTTCCTCAGATTTTTAATATTTCACATGATGCTGCAGTCAACTTCTCTGGACATTTATCTATGTATTCTTAAGTATTTCTTAAGAGAAATTCCTGCAGTGGCCTTTCTGATTACAACAGCATGGATATTTAGAATTTTAGTAGACACTCATTTTCAACCTTCACCCCACCCATGGAAAAATACTGTTTTTACACTGTTATCCATCACATATGGGAGATATTATCAGTATTTTTAATTTATGCTAATCTGATGAGTGAAAACTTACATTTTTGTTTTAATTTGTGTTTGTTTAATTAATAGTGAGACTGAGCAAATTTTTCCTATTTTTCATAAAACAATGTTCTCCAGAAGGGTTAAATAAGTAAAAATTAAATTTTTTAAATGCTTCAAGAAACTATAGGAAAATATATAATCAACTAACGGATAAATCCATAAAATATAAGTTAATGATTTTTTCACACCTATTAAAAAAAAGTGTGTTTGCAGAAAGCATCAGAATATAGTTAAAAGGCAACTAGCATACCAAGAGTAAACATTTGCTACACACGGCAAACAAATCATTAACACCCTCACTGAATAAGGAGCTCCTACAAATCAGTCAGAAAAAGAACCCAATAGAAAAACAAGTAAACACATATTTCTGAAAGAGGAATCCTAAATCACAAATAAATGAAAAGATGCTTATCCAGCTTTTTTTTTTTTACTATTAACAATATAAAGTGGCTGTCTTATTATGTCAGTACATATAAATCTTCTTGATTTTTTTTATACATTGCATGGATTATCATTGTTTATATAAATGTTAATCAATTGATGGGTATCTAGGTTGTTTTCTACTTTTTGCTATGATAAAAAATCATGCAATGAATGTGTGTGTGTGTTTCTATGTCAGTTACATAGGCTTTATCAGTTTTTTTAGTCTTGGCCTGATAGGTAGAAAGTTCTATTTATTTTAAAAGATTTTTTTCCTTTGATTATTGCTAAGATTTAGTAGCTCTTAATGTTTATATTTTTAACTTTTTATGTCATATGTTTTTCTTTATTCTTTATTTTCCTTATTAAATAACTACTCATACTATCCTCTACCTATTTTTCTAGTAGTATCTGTATTGATTATATGAACTCTTTATATATTCATGATATCCCTTTTCTGTCATATGAGTTTGAATATGTGATTTCTATAATTTGTTTCACTTATTATTTCTGTTTTACTTGCCAGTTTTGTACACATATTAATATTTCTACATCATTTTAATTCATCTCTGTTCATTCTTTGTGAGATGATTGTTCTCTCTCTAGATTCAAAATGAAGAATTATGTCTCCTCGCATAGGTCTGCCACAGTATTGCTTACTTGATAATAATGGCTTCTTGATGATGGCTGCACAGACCTAGAGGCCTAGAAATAGACACTCAGATCCTGGCAGTTTACATAGCTCCTACAAACTATTACAGATGCTGATTATACATCCTACCAGCAACAGACTTCTGTCATCCTTTCAGTAGACTTGACCATTATATTTGAAAGAGAGAATAGTATAGTGTTACTATAATAGATCTACTATGCATATTCTCACTGCTTTATATTCACTGATCATATAAAAAGAGAAGAATGCACTAGCTTAGTGTTTGATCTTTACCACATAGATCTAACGTCACAATCAATTGCTTTCAGTATTTTCTTTGAAATCACATAAAGGTTCATATGTGCCAAATTTCATGAGAATCACATGATAAGGTCAAGAAACACAAATTCCAAGGCAGAATTTATATGCCCAGTTCACATATGACAGTAATACTATATAACCATATGTTGAATATAATATACAGTATGTAAATGCTATTCTTGAAAGCAATCCAATCAATAAAGCCTAAAATAAATAACACTTTAATAACACATCTCAAATCGACTGAAAATGGAATAGATGGACTCTGTGGCAAGGACATCCCTATAAAATTGACATTCAGAGGCCATTAAAACACAGACAGTAAAACAATCTTGAAACTAAAGAAAAGCTGTGAATATTTAGAAGTTTAAAAAGCCTACTGCATTGTATGCCAAGATACAGCAGTCGTTTTTATTTAAAGAGCTATTTCAGTAAAAACTGTGGATTGCCAAGAATTAAAAAGCTAATTCCATTTGCCATCATCAGTAGCTAAAAAATACTTTTTAAAAATGTACAATGTTAACCTTAAAAAGAGTTTAAGATATTTACTGTTTCATAGAAAAAGTCAAACTGAAAAAAAGGCAACTTTTAGTCATAATTGGAACTATTAAAAGACTGACCAATTTTATCATTAAAGAAGGTTATGGGAAAGCTACTGAAGTTAACTTCAAAAGCCTAGTAGTAAAAGTGATTGTAATGTCAGTAAAACTCTGAAACAGATCGAATAACCCCTAAGTAGTACTAATCCACTGCATCTTTGAACCTGTATATGCCTCTTTTTAAGCTGAAAAGGTTGCCATTTTTTTCTTAAACTTGTTTCCAACATCCTATTTAAAAAAAAAAAAATCTAACCGTTCAACTGTTAACAGTCAGCAGCTCAGAGTACAGAAATTTTATCTTCATTCAAAGATGATATGACTTCAGATTTGAAATATCTTTCCCTCTTTGGCTTGGTTCTGGAAAATATGGTTTCATTATTCTACCTTGGACAGAGAGCTTCTCTTTCTCCATACAAGTATTTATGTACCGAATATGTACAAACAAATGAATTAATGAAAGTTACATATAATGTTTTAACCATTTTTTCCTCTTGTTTTCAGCTCATACTCTTACACCAAAATGGGATGTTTGCTTTGTAATTGACATTTTTAATTTCTATTTTTGTCACTTCAGATCCTGGAAAGACTCTGCCTGAAGCTCTTGATTATTGCACAGTTTGGCTGCAGACAGTGCCTGGAGAAATAGACAGCAAAAGTGGTATTCCACTTTCCCTTGTAACGCTGCAAGTTAAAGACTTTCTTAATGGACCAGGTAAGAAAGTCATAATTCAATTTTTTTTCATGTGGGTATATTAATATGTACATAGGATCTGTTAGTAATCTTGACATTCCTTGCCAAAAATAAGTAATTCATTTTCCAAACTTTTCTCCTGCTGCCATTCTAGGCGTCAAAAGGCAAATATTAATATGCGTTAAAAATTACCATTAGTCTGACAAAAAGTTGTTACCAATTTAAAAATAATTTTAATTGATGATTTATTTCTGCTTATTAACTGTGTGACCTTAGGCAGTTACCTAATCTGTGCCTCAGTTTCCTTACCTGTAAATGAAGAGAATAAAGTAGATAATGGGTGGGTACATGGGTGGGTCAGTAGGTGGATGGATGAATGAATGGGTAGGCTATGTGACATACATACACAAGATAGTATGCGCAGATAGTTTCAATAGATAGATAGATAACGCTTATTTCAAATGCTTAGCAAAGTGCTTGAGGCATATTAACACTCAATTTTAAATAGATAGATACAGATATCAAAGGTATTGAGTGCTTTTTATGTCCCAGGTACTAAGTGCTTTACATACTCATATAGACCCAGGGAGCAGGCACTGTAATTGTCCCTATTTTATAATAAGGAAGCTAAGACTTAGAAAAATGAAGTAAATTGCCCAAGGTCATAGTAGCAGAGGAACATTTCAAACTCAGGTCTTTATGACTCAGAGACCTAGGTCACTTTTGTACTGCACTAATTGCAGCATAACTAAAGATTTTTTCTTTCTTCTCCATAGTCTCCTCATACTCCTTTTCTATTTTTCCTGCTCTGTTTCTTCTTCCTTCACCTCACGTTCCTTCTTCTCTTTTCTTTATTACTCTTTCCTCACCTCAGTGAAATCTTAACTATTTATTTAACAGAAATTACTACATTTCAGTTTCCCTTTTGTTAGCTTACAATTACAGTGCTGCAGAGCATGTTAGTCACCAAAAGAATGCTAGTTTCTTCATTACAGATTTAAAACAACAGTATCACACTGCCTTAAGCTCTCTAGCAATACTCTGCAAGGCATGAATTTTGATGATTCAAACATATCCCTATGTGAACCTGATTCAGTTTGTATGCCATGACATGCCAATGCACTTATGACCCATGACGACAGTTAGAGAAGGTGGCCCATCACCTTGTCTGGAGTAAAAAGAGCCTGAAACCACCTCAATTGACCCTTTCATTGGAGCCCAGTTCTTCTTAAGCATGTTTCTCCAGTGCTGGGATTTAAAAGGTGTAGAAGTATGAAGAACTATTTCTAACCACTATAGGTATCTAGACATGGTTTTAAAAACTCAGGGGAAAGCGAGAAGCTGATGATAAAGGTTGAGACAAGAAAGTTAGAAGAATCCTTCAGAGTGAGTTGGATGGACTGAGAGGAGTGTGAGTCCTTGTACTTGGTTAGTGAATGTGAAGTACTGAATTTTATTGAATTTAAGTCACCATCAATTGTAGGAAAAAACATTTTATACACCAGTAAGGAAAAAAAAGCTGCCATTTAAAATATGATTCAGTGCTTTCTTACTACATCAGTTGCAAGACAAAAGACTGAACATGCTACAATGAATGAATAGGATTAGAACATGAGGCTGGTTCATGAAGTGACAAGGAAACTTGTATTTACTTCTTATTTCTCTCTTTTAGTTTTAGATTTCTTTGTTTTGAGGCACAGTCTTTCACCATTTTGGCTAGGAAGTTTTCTAGCTTATGTTTGATTTGTTTATAAAATGGATGGGATCGCAAGTCAGTGGTAAATTGTGTGCCTGGCAACCAAAAAATTGAATTTTAAGAGAAATGTCAATGAACAAATGAAAAATTATGTATTTATAATTCTGTCATTTAATGTGCCTGGATAGCAGAAGTGTGATTTTTACAATAGTTGTACTTTTGTGTTTCTTATACTTTTTAAAATTGGAAACTATACGTATGCCATTTCTAATTTTATGCACATTCAATAATAGTGATAATCTATCTGGAGATTCAAACTTCTAAGTAAATGAATTGACATTTATTTTATAGCAGCACTTCTCAAACTTAAATGTACATTTTTTTTTAAATTTGTATTGAAGTATAGTAGATTTACAATGTTAGTTTCAGGTATACAGCAAAGTGATTCAGTTGTACATACATAATATATTTTTAGATTCTTTTCCGTTATATCAAAGTTGAATGCATATTTGAACATCTCCGGGGATCTGGTTAAAATGCAAATGTGATTTAATAGAGATGAAATTTCCGCATTTCTAACAAGCTCCCAGGTGAAGTGGATCCTGTTGGTCTGGGGACTACACTTTTTATAACAAGAATTTAAATAACTCGTATATTAATAAGATACATACAATTTGTGTGTGTGTCTGTATATATATATGATTTTCTTAATACCATCAGGAACAGTTACTGAGGTTCAAACTGCAGATATTTTGGGGCACAGGAGAGGGGGATGATACAAGGAACAATGAGTGGTCTTTTAAATGGTGCTTTTATTATGAAAAATCAAATACAATGTCCAATAAATGGTTTAAGTTCTTCAAAATCTAAACATTTTCACCAAGAGTACTTTTCTTTAGTAAATTATTTGATGGAAGATTAGTTTGAATGATATATCAGCTTTGTGGGATTTCACTAGAATATTAACCTAACAGCTTTGAACTCCAGAATTTACTATCATAGAAGTTTCCTTACTATAAGCAGTTTGTCATATAAAGTATATAAGTAGATGTTATTACATAAA